CAAACTAAAAAATACTGAAATTTGTATTTGAGAATAGTTCCAGTGTTACTTACAATCAGCTCAACAAAATATACAGCTACCTTAAATTGTTGCCTGACGTAAATATTTGACCTTTTCTTTTATTTTTCAGCGCTGAAAACCTGTCAGATAAAGAAATAGCAGTAAGTATCTTTTTATTTATTTTATTTTGTTCTTCTCCTCTGCTTCCATTCTATTGATTTCTTACCATTAAATTTTCACACCTGTGTTGTTTTCACAATTTATTTTTATCAAATTTGTGTGTTTTAATGAATGTTATTCATGGAAATTAAAACATATTGAGCTAATATCTGATAAAAAATCAACTGTGTTCACTTGACTGCTCATTGGTTGAATCAAAGATAAATTGAAGTTGATGAAAATAAAAAAGTTAAAGGTTTTACACAGAGTCTAGATTTTCTTACTTTCATCGAGTTTCTAAAAATATCTTCGTTGAAAAGTATATACAGATTACTGTCATTTTGGGAAGTTGATTTGAGTCTTGAATATATGTAAATAGTCTTCAGAAGTACTAGAAATATACGAAAATAACATAATTCCTTTAAAAATACTTCAAACTATGAATTTTACTCACTATTTCTATATATGTCTTTTCTATATATCACAGAGTATCTTAAATTGAAGAGTCATTTTAACATTCAAATGCTGATAATTCTGGACACAGGTGGATTTGAAGGCTCAAATTTCGAGCTGTGAACACTATTACTGATTGACTCAGCTAAAAAATTCCTGTTTCTGAGACTAAAGTATGATTGTTGAAAAAATGGCCTACCTTTAATTGTCATTGTTGTATCTGAAACAGAAGAATTAACACACAGTTTATATTTCTCGTGATATTTTAATTAAGTTTCCTGAGTCTGTGATATAACACTATGACACATTGTAACAAATAATATCAAAAAAAAACTTAAAAATTTTACAGTTTTCATCAAAAAAATTAAGTTTGGTCTATTTGCTAACTATTTATAAAACATTCACTTATATTTTTATCAGTTTTGTCAATGAAATTAAGTTTGATCTATTTATGAGACTAAAACTAAAACCAATTTGGTTAATTTATGATATAACACTGTTTCACAATTTGACAAATGATATCAAAGTAAAACTTGAGATCTCATATATTCTTCTACTTTCATCAAAAACAAATAAATTATTTCAATTAGTTTGTCATGAATCTATCTTTATTTTCACCTTTTTCGACAAAAACTAATTTAATATCAGTCTGTGATATAACATTGTAAAATATTCTGACAAAACACAAGATAATTTCTATCAATCTCTCACTATTTCTCTAGTTTTCATGAAATATATCACTTTTAACAATTTGTGCTATAACTTTGACAAGAAAATTGGAGTTAATTCTTTTAATTAGACAGATATTAATTAGTAATGGTAAATTTTAATTAATCAAGAGGGGAGAGACTGATTGATACTTTCAACTTTTAAACACAGTCAATTTTACTTTAAAAAAAATAAGAAATATCCAGAAATTAAAACAATAGTAACATAAATTCATAAAGAGATTGTAAAGAGGTTTTCTAAATTTATCGGGGACACTGATAGCATCAATTTACATCATTCCAATATCCATTCCGACGTCTGTGGTTCTTGTTAAAGAGATTGTAAAGAGGTTTTCTAAACTTATCAGGGACACTGATAGCATCAATTTGCACCATTCCAATTTCTGGCGTCTGTGGTTCTTGCAATTCCACTAAAACTAATGTGTTTTATGACATCACTAGAGGAGAACTACCGGAAGCTACTATTAATATCTATAGTTTTAGTAGAATTGCAAGAACCACTGATGTCGGAATGAAAATTGGAATGGTGCAAATTGAAGCTATCAGTGTCTCCGAAACACATAAAAAGTTTAGAAAACCTCTTTACAATCTCTTTAAGGACTGGCTACCTGGTGATAATCTTTCCCAGATAATCAGTGGATTGATTCAAATAATTAGCAAGGGTCATCATGAATTATTTGCTTTAAATACAGATTGATATCAGATATCTATAGAAATTTTTAGAATTAAAATCTATAAGGATGAGGGGCTAGAATGGAATGTGACGTAGCTCAAATCAAGTAGTTAAGAGAGTACAACACGATATCAGAATAGACAGTACAACCACAATACACTGTTTTAATTGTTGCTATATTTCTCCCTAGTTTTATAAAGTAAATAAACAGTTTATATGTTATTCAATTGATTCTAAACTATGATCCCAAAAAGGGATATTTCTCTTATTTCAGATTATCTACAGTTAAGATAACAACAGATATTAAAGTATTACTTATTAATACACCATCTTGTTTATTTTCTAGAACTATAAACTTATGTTACGTCTTGTACTTGTGCTTTCGTAATATTGTTTTCAATGCAATGTAACACCACTATTCTCAAAAACCATGAAACCTGCAAATCACCAACCTAATTCCCTCATGGTTTGATGAGAGATAGACCACAATCTAACTGTATTACATTGTCTAACATAGTATAACATTGTTTTAAACAATACACAATTAATTCTGACACAGAAAATTACTTTTTAATGTGTTTTTGACATTTTAAAAAAATAAATCAGATAAAATGAAGTAAATATAAATGACAATTAGTGGAGATATATCACCTCCAGGTAGAAAATATAGTAGTTATCAACTTAGATCAGATACAAGTTTATATAGGTAATTCAATTAATCGCAATTAACTTCTTATTCTGACAGGTAAAAACTCGTTAATGATAATTATATGGTTTGATAATGATCTACCTGGAACCAAAATAATGCTAAATAAAACCTAACTAGTCTGATAAATATATATTCTGTTGTTAATTATAATAACAAACAATTTAAGGATGTGAAAGAGGAGTTGGAAGACCCATAAAAGCTTCGTTTACACCATTTCAAATTGTTTTAAATTCCAAAGGGGATGTTTTTTTTGTTATTCTTGGCACAATAAATTTTTTTTTTGTACAAGTGGAAATTCTCATAGCAGTTCTGTAAACAAACATGGAGAGTTAAATTTAATATCTTCTGGTGTTCAGCAGACTTGATAGGTCCAATATTTACCATTCCAAAATGGTTGCCTAGCAACTATAAATCCAGAAGTGGATAATATGAATTATGAACTAATCTGATATTTTCTAAACTTCTAATTGCTAATTTAAAAAGCTCACTGAACCAATAAATAAAATTATTATAATTGTTAAAACAAGAGGACCAGTCTGCTTCTTCCTTCTACTCTAACCAAACTTCCATTAGACCTCAATTCCTTTCCCTTGGATCCCGACACTAAGATTCAGACCCCCTCCTTTGATTCCCCACCCTTTAGATCACACATCTTTTTAACCAGTGACCTGAAAGGACCCTACAAATGACTTGTAACATCTATATAGTTCTGTTAATTGGGGCAATAATTAACTTTCAAATTACCAGAAGGGGTGGGCATGCCTTTCACCTGAATGACTGGACATGGTATATGGTATGTAGGTAGGGAGTTAAGACAATAGATACTGTTTAACATCAGATATATTAGGGGCTGAACAATACCCCCAGTAATTCAGGAACAATACCCCCAGTAATTCAGGCACAATTCACTTTGTTTTTGACACATAAATTACCTTCAAAGAAAATTCACCTTAAGGGGTCAAAAAACAATAATAACGTACCAAAAAACAATTAAATTGTTTGTTGACTTGTGAGGGTAAGGCACATTAAAACGTCATTACAATTCACAGGTAATTAAAGGGCTGGGGAAGAATTGACCTTAGGGGTCAAATTCTAAAATTTCTTGAATTATGACACCACAAAAGATCAAACATCAAAAGGTTTTTGAAAGGTAAAGATCTCCTTATTAGGTAAAAACAATAGGGGGAGATAATCTTGATGTTTTTGACACAACAATGGGTTAATATGATCAAAAGATATGAAGACATGTTAAAACAATGGGTTATATACTCATTTGTTGGACGAGAGTTTTTGGCACGTTGAAATGCTGGAGGGGTGAGGGTGATCTACCCATTTGTAGAAACATTAATGATTTTTGACACATTTGAACCTGGCTTTAGGCTGCAGAGTAATCAAGGGTAGTTCACATTAGAGAAAACAAAGTGACTGTACGAGGGTTAAGTAGGGTCTGGCTAGATTAAAACAATGAATAATTTCTGACATCATTTCGGCTTCAGGCTGCAAAAACAGTCAAAATATTGCACATGGTAAGAAAAAGAGTGAAAAAGATGCCTTTTTTTCCTAAGAATAAATGTAGTGCGATAGAAAAACAAATTTTACAAAGATACACTTATAGCTGCACTGGCCAAGGTTACAAAAAATATACATAGGGATAATTAACAACCAATATCAGCTATGTGGACAGTTTCACCGCTTACTGAAATATTTTCAACTTACATTATTATAAATTACAACTTTTTCCTTGATAGTTTTAGGCAGGGAAAGATGTAGGTGCACATGTAGGAACAATTTCAAACATAATCACAAACAGTAAACTTTATATACTTTGTGAGGTTCTATAACACAGTCGGTTAGAGCGTTGGTTACATGACGTCATTTTCTTGGTTACCTCAAGCAAATGGCTACTGTGGGTTCCAATCTCGATCGGCGTGTGAAAGTCCAATGACCTTGAATTAGTGATCTTTACTCATAATTCCACTCGACCCAGCTGTAAATGGGTATCAATAATCTGGGAAAGATCAATGCCAAGAGGTTTGGCCAAGAACCAGCTGGTAGAAAGGATCTTTAACTGTGAACCTAAATTGTTATCCTTTTAAACTATAGTTCTTTCTTCCTTTCTGTATATGTGGGTAGAATAATTCCTCTACATAAAATAACTGATCTTCTTTATCTTTTGAATCATTCATAGATTTTCAGAAATATCGTTGCACATTTATACACTTGCGAGTTTTTTTTTTTTAACCAAAACTTTGCTTTGCTATACATTTAACATCAGTTCATGTATTGGTTTATATTTCTATTTCAGAATAAATTTAATATTGTATCATTGGCGTTTCGTACTGATAAATACACCCTAGATAAACGACTGGAGATACAGGAGAGAGCTCGCGATATTAGTGAACAAAACGTAGATCAAGAATTATATGGGTTGAGAGAGGCTGTAGATGTAAGTGATTTGAATTTACTTCATTGTTCACTGCATGGTGTATTCATAGTCCAATTTGGAGTAAAAGTAGAAAATATTTTTAGATTTCATAAAGTGTTAACTACATTGACAGATATCTATTTAACTTTGAGAATGTTGTCAGCACTTCTTCCTGTAGAGTGGATTTCACTGCTTTATAAATACAATTATTATTATTATTATTAAAGCAAGTGTTGTTCATAACGTATATCACCAGTCTGATGATTGTAACTGTAGTAAACCCTTTATATAAGATCTTTGTCTACAAACTGCCATGTTAAATCAATGTATTTTATCCTGACAGAAGTAGGGATTAAGCATTTTATGTATGTGCACAGATAATACAGAATTGGTGTATTGGAAAATAAAAACAGTCAAATGTTCCTCATTGCATACCTCATGGTATTGCTTCATCAGACCAATCAGGTGCTGAATCGTTCAATGTAACGACTTTTATATCATGTTTATTACAGTTATTAAATCACCTATGTACTGATGGACAGATTAGAGATGTAATCAGTAAAATAAAGAATCATATTGACGTACTGGAGCAATGTGCTGCCAGAGTATCGAGTCGAGCGGAAGTTTTAGGAGCAGTGCAGCAGGTAAGTCTGTCCCTGAAGTCCCCCTGCACATCAACTATTTGTCCTGTAGCGGTTCAAGATATATTTTTTTTAGCAAAATCAATCTCATTTTCAATTGTTTTCAACTGATTCTACTTTTACACTTATATAAAGATATTTCAAATTAGTTACAGTGGAATAGTTCAGTTGGTAGTGAGTTGGATTGTTGTCTGTTAAGTAATTAGGTGCTGTGGGTTCGAATTCTCCTCAAGGTGCCTTGTCCAGTGCTACTGAAGGAAGGCCAGTGTCCACTTTCATCATCTAATACCCAGTGAATCAGGCAATTCCTGCCATTTTAATTCTACAGATGTATCTCATCAATAGAAATAGAAATATTAAAACAGAACCTAAAACATGTTGTTGTTACTCAAGAGTTTCACGCTAGGTGATCTTCAGACAATGTACCTATCTTCACTAGGGTGTTCTATTCAGCTCAGAGAATTTGTATATTGGACAGTCTAGTATATATACTATGTAAATGATTAGATTATATATTTATATACCTGTAGGAACGTAGAATGTGTCGAGCTATGGAAGTGATGATAGCTCACGTTGACAATCAGAAGAGACTTTACGAGAAAGATCATTCAGAGCTAGAAGAAGCCAGGTTTGATTTTAAATTTTTTCTTTCAAATTTCTATGTTAGTCTAGTGTGAAAACTTCTTCATGTTCATAAACAAATGATGATTCCAATTTTTTAACCATTTGAACATGTAGTGTATAAAAATTTAATACGCTGGGGCTCAGATTTTGTATTCAGATAACTGGAAGAATTAAAGACCCAGAGAACTCATTTCGGACAATTTTGAAGTGCCAAAAACATATCAAAATCTATGTACAAAGACACTGAAAATGAATCAATCTGAACTGAAGACGGTTTTGCTGGGGCTTAATTCTCACTTGCTAGGGCCCAGCCCCCCCAGACACCACCCTAACGACAGGGTTGAGTGTTAAATTATTAATTGAGAAATACCATTCTAGGTGCAGACATGATTTGTAAGATTTCTTTGTGAAAGGGGACCCTCTAATCTAAGTAATATAACTGAAAGTGTATGATGTTAGAGTTACATGACGTCACTTGGTAACATCTGCTTCAATTGCAGCTCGGTTTCATATCACCTAATGATATAGCCACCAGTATTGTTTCATATCACCTAATGATATAGCCACCAGTATTATTTCATATCACCTAATGATATAGCCACCAGTATTATTTCATATCACCTAATGATATAGCCACCAGTATTGTTTCATATCACCTAATGATATAGCCACCAGTATTATTTCATATCACCTAATGATATAGCCACCAGTATTATTTCATATCACCTAATGATATAGCCACCAGTATTATTTCATATCACCTAATGATATAGCCACCAGTATTATTTCATATCACCTAATGATATAGCCACCAGTATTATTTCATATCACCTAATGATATAGCCACCAGTATTGCAAGGGTTAATAATTTTGGCTTCTTTCATATGTGTATTTTATATTATTTTCATTCTAATATTTTAGTTTTTGCAAAGGCAATTTTTTTTTTTGCACAATTTTTATCGTTTTTGTAGAATTTTGATTTTATTTTGTTTGTAGGAAAATTTTACAAGATCGTCCTTTTGGTTCTGCTTATGGTGAGACTACTAGTGGGGGTAGGTTTTTATTTTAGCACAAAATTATTTACTAAATAGAGTTACTTCCCTTTAGTTATTTTTTCTTGTCCTTTACACACCTTTACGTAATTGTTTGTGGTACAGGAAATATCTACCCCTAAAACGTTGACATTTGCCCTTAGTGTTAAGGTGTATTGAGATGAGCGTCAATGAAACTACTGGCCTAGGTCACAGAGCCTATCAACAGTGTTAATCATCTGTAAAAGTTGACTGCAGTTGGCAAGAAATGGAGAGAAATAATATTTTGGTCTTGCCAAGTTTCTACTGTCCACTGCCTCAAAATGTATTGATCACTAGTTCTTAATTAAAATATTTCTATCATCATAATTGTGATCAGTCCAATTATTAAATGCCAATATTTGAGATTTGCGTAAATGTCGTATTCAAGAATTGTTGTCTCATCTCAAGGAACTCGTAGTAAAAAAATTATTGAAAAATATTTTGTATCTTGCAGTGGAAAGAAGGTCCATGTCCGTATGTGCTGCCAACGGAGCTCCGAGGGTGAGTAACCTTGACCTTGACTTCTTTCAGTTATATTATTCTATTGAGTTTGATTTCAGGTTATTGTTTCAGGATTTTGTTCAACATTCTTGGACCAATTTCTCAAAAACTTCACTGATAATTTCAGTGTTTATTTTAGTCATAAAATTGACCAATCACTGAAATTAATTCTAAATCTAGAGTTATATCGTCCAATCAGATTGTTTAAAATTATTTTAAATCTGAAATTCAGTTTTATTAACCAATCAGATAACTGTATTTCTTTAAATTGAGGACGTATTTTAGAAGAGATTTTATGAAATTGGTCTGTGATGATAGAGAAATAATGTTGATATTTATAACTAACTAGCACTTGTTATAGTATTATATAGTTCTAATATTTATACAGTATAGTATTATATAGGTTGGTCAGTTAGTTTGTATTTACTAGATACCCTAATTCAATCAGAACTTAATTCCTAATATAACTTGAAAACCATGATCCTGTAGGTCTGATAAATTGCTCTTTCTGAACAGCATTGCAAGATCAAGAATTTGATAAAAGTGAGAATAGATTTTATTTTCAAAGGATAACACATTCATGATGATTCTTTCCACCAACTGGTCCTTAATCAAACCTCTTGGTCTTTGATGTTTGCTGGAACACTTGATAAAACCGAAATAATAGTCTTAAAAATACTGATTTGTGATGTACGCAATTATTCTTGGTGACCAAATATTGCAATAAAGTGTAATAAACTGAATTTACCACATTGCTCAATGTGTGGTGTCGTTTGAAGCAGAATAAGAACAAGTAAAATTTCATTCCCTTTCCTGGAAACATAGCTGACCAATCTATATAAAGCATGTTACGAGTAAAATTTAAACACAGTTTAACACAATGTACCAAACCCCTAGCCCCATTCTAATTACAATTGGTTAACAATTTCGCTTCTTGTTTTTATCTGATATTTTTCTTCTCCATAGTAATTTAACAACTTTTTACCACAGTTCCATTCCAATGACATTATTTCTAACCAATCAAAGTGTGTCATAAAGAAAACTTGTTAGATTACAATCGAGACAAAAATATCAGAAAGCAAATAAGATACGAAATTTTAATTAGATTTTAATTAGATTGCCCTAGCTCCGATCTTACACGTCATATTTATTTTGTCTTAGCTACGCACTAAACTACTCGCTGTCCCGTCTAATATTAATGGTCCAACATTTAGCAAGGTAGATAACTCTCGTTTAGGTAATTAGAGTTGTTATCACTGTCGTGTTTTAGATTAGTCAGAATTTTAATCCAAGAATATGTCATGTGTAGTGATAACATTTTACAGAAACACAAGATTCTCTCTAATAAAAATATGAGATCTAAACTGAATCTATCAAATACAAGGGAAGTAACTCTTTTCAAGATTTTAACCTCAAGTGATGGTCTACGTGCTCAAACAGGCATCGATATCAAACTTAAGGAAGATATTCCTTTCTTCGTGTTTTATTTTCCATTTGATTATAACTCTGTTATACAAATTTCAAATCTGTGTTTGAGTATGTCATTTCTACATCTCTTTCAGAGAGTTCACATCACTAAAATTGACTATTTGCTAAATAGTTTACAGAGAGTCCATATATCACTAATGATTATTTACTAATTAAATGATAAATCTAAATTGATCCATGATATATCTTGTGTTTCTGTAAGATGAGACTATTTGTGAAAATGATTAGAATTTATTGTGATTAGATTTGGCTGGTGTTTGCTTCATTAAATGTAAGTTATCGTATAGTTACCCCAGTAAAATCTGTGTTTTGTGAATAGCCCTGACACTGATTCTCAAAAAAATGTATGATTGAAATTTGTTGCAAGTTGAAGGGATTGTAAAGTGAGGGTTTTTTTAACTTTAATGTGTATCAGGAACACTGATAGCCTCAATTTACATCATTCCAATTTTCAATCAGATATCTGTGGTTCCTGCAATTCCACTAAAACTAATGTCTCTATTGGAAAAACTGGTCATAATTATATTTGTATACAACTTAACAATTCTACAAAGGAACCACTGACGTCTGATTGAAAATTGGAAGGAGTCATGTGATTGATGAATGGCCGTGATACACATAAAAAGTTAAGGAACCCTCTTCAACCCAAAATCAAACTTACGACAAAAATTGATTCATTGGGAATAAAAGGAATCAGGTCAACTATTGTTGAATGAAATTGATGGTTATGACACACTGATTATCTACCTTGCATGCTCTCCTATTGTAGAGGTGTAAAATTATGAACCCTGGATGTATAAGTGTGTCAATATACATATATATTTTATTTCAGATTTTAATTCCGTTTTCAGATTGTTTATAGAAATAAGATTTTTAATTTTCAAATTTTATTGTTTTTTGAACTTTCTTTTTAGAATTGTCTTCATTAATCCAATACATGGTACAGATAAGTAGGACATAAAACTCCATTCATTTCATTTCATTTCATTAATCCAATACATGGTACAGAAAAGTAGGACATAAAACTCCATTCATTTCATTTCATTAATCCAATACATGGTACAGATAAGTAGGATATAAAACTCCATTCATTTCATTTCATTAATCCAATACATGGTACAGATAAGTAGGACATAAAACTCCATTCATTTCATTTCATTTCATTAATCCAATACATGGTACAGAAAAGTAGGACATAAAACTCCATTCATTTCATTTCATTTCATTAATCCAATACATGGTACAGAAAAGTAGGACATAAAACTCCATTCATTTCATTTCATTTCATTAATCCAATACATGGTACAGAAAAGTAGGACATAAAACTCCATTCATTTCATTTCATTAATCCAATACATGGTACAGATAAGTAGGACATAAAACTCCATTCATTTCATTTCATTAATCCAATACATGGTACAGAAAAGTAGGACATAAAACTCCATTCATTTCATTTCATTTCATTAATCCAATACATGGTACAGATAAGTAGGACATAAAACTCCATTCATTTCATTTCATTTCATTAATCCAATACATGGTACAGAAAAGTAGGACATAAAACTCCATTCATTTCATTTCATTTCATTAATCCAATACATGGTACAGAAAAGTAGGACATAAAACTCCATTTATTTCATTTCATTAATCCAATACATGGTACAGAAAAGTAGGACATAAAACTCCATTCATTTCATTTCATTAATCCAATAAGGTGTACAAGTTGGACCTAAAACTCCTTTTCATTTACAAATAAATTTCATTTATTTATTTATTTTTTAGGTACATAGATTATTTTAGATCTTATATTTAAACTCTGATTGATCAAAATATTGACCCTTATTGAACCCTTATTAACCTTGTCGACCTCCTGTAGTTCAAGACTCTAAATATTTTCATAATATTGTCAAAATATTGTTATCTTCATGAGACATTAATCCATGGATTAGGGTAAACGAGGGGGATAATCCACCCCCAACTTTTGCCCCTGT